ATATATATATATATATATATATATATATATATATATATATACACATACATAAATGGATTAAAAAATTGATCAATGGGTCACCACAACATTTACTGCTTAGAGCCCAGCAGACTGTTCATCCGGCCCTGCTTCAAGGTAAGAATATATGTTTGGACTGGATAGTCTCAGCTAGGCGAAATCCGATTACTTTCTTCGTCGTCTTCTTCATCTTGTCGGCATACATAATTTATTTTGCCAGGAAATGAGGTACTATGCTTCTTGTGTGACCTAATTCTCGTTATCAATGCGTGTTATTTTCTGATCCCATTCATTTTGACGGTCTTCTACCGTATATTGATGGTTTCTAGTAAAACTTCACAACTTCGTGCACAAAATTTCTTTGTGGATAGAGCAGTCATGCTAGTGACTGTGAGTAATATAATAATAATATAATTATATGATATGATATATAATAATTATTATTATAAAAAAGAAGAAACGAATGTATTTTATTCAATTGAAATGCTTTTGATGAAAATAAATCCTGTTAGTTGCCAGAACGTACCGGACTATTGTCACTCTTACCTGAACATTCCAACGCGAGTTTAAACGCAGTAAATATTAAAAACGATATTTCATCGCTTTTTATTTATAATGACCTTAAGAATTCAAGAATAATACATTAGAGAGACCATTAGTAATTTAGGGCAACTTCGGGATAAAAATTAAGTTTTGGTGGAATTTTAAAATCTCTTAGCTTTGTTACTATTTGCTTGAGAGAAATAATTTATAAAGCAAAGATGTATAAACGTTTATGACTATGGTACATATTCTATTTTAGTAAATATTTTCTATATTATATCCATTTCTATATTAGTAACTTCCAACTATTTCTATATTAGTAACAACTTTCAGTAACTAATTTTGCTATTTAAGACCAACCATAAAAAAGTTTTACGCAAAAACCAAAGACAAAAGAATGCAATAACTTTTCTTTTAGGCAATATCCGTGAAAAATATTATTCTCTCCTCCCAGCATGCCCCAACACTCCAATATTCAATCTCGGCCAAAACGCATATTATACATCACGCATTAGATCCAGACTCCCCAAAGATGTCTTTCGCCCACCCTAATTCATATTATTTGCCCCCTTTTCCCACAAACACTCTCCCCCCTCCTCTGAACCACAAATGCAAACTTTACTTAGTGAAGATATCCAAATATGAAATTTTAAAAATATAGTGAAGGGTTATACCGAGACCCGCATTTGCCTGAGGATGACCAAGTAAAATCATTGTATGTAACATTGTACCCGTCAAAACCCCCGAAAGACAAAAGTCAAACGAAAAAAAAATAATTTAAAAAGGCAATATCCGCAAGCCAGATAAATACAAAGTAGATTAGGATATCCATCGACATGAGATAGCAATGCCTCCTGTGACGGCTGATGAGCAAGAATTTCCCTCTCCATAAAGCGGCGTTCGCGCGAATGGTCGCAGCGCTCCAAACGGCGACCATATAAAATGTCACACGTAAGGCAGCCCATGTGCGCTAGTGTGTGGCGCCATTCGCGCGGTGGTGAGATAACGAACTATAGGCACACAGTTCATCGCAGCGCCGCAAAGCACCGCTAGGATCGAGCGTAAACTAACGACATCTATGTTCGAAACGAGTGACCTTTACGGAAAGAATGGAAATGGTGTGCGCAGCAGGTACATTTGAGCCCTTGTAAACATTTGTTGGTACAGCATTACTGTTTTTAAGGCAACGCATAACAAAGATGAATTTATTTTCCACCGAAGGCATATTAGAAAATAATAATATAACGAAGAATATACTTACAAATATGATTTAAAATCACATAGGAACCATAATAAGTTCCACGGACACGTAAATGACTATATAAGAAACGATTTTCACATTCACTCCTGGAAGTGTGTGTCTTGTGATGGCACAGCTGAACATTGATCGCTGAAGGTTTCGCAGATCTGCTCAGTACGTGTTGTCACGTGGTTCATTCCAGAAGTCTGTAAACACTCCTGATGCCTCGTCGCTCAGTCGAGAGTTTACTTGACTTCTCGAACTACCGCGCTTTCCAAATTCGGGGGGGCCGTTGACTAGGTCAATCGAGGTAATTTGATCGCTTCCATATCCCGGCACTTCGGAAGAAGTATGCCATTCCTTTTTTAATTTTCTAAATAACCCAAAGTATTTTTACGTTATTTCAATAAAGAGCAAAGGCGGTATATTCTTGTTTATTTCAACCCAGTTAGAACTTCATTTTCAGTTCATTGTCCGTAGACCCTGTTGCTCTTAGGTAATAAAATAAAGGTGTTGCAGTTACGGGATGATAATAATAGTAATAATAAATTGCCCTTATCAAGTGGCGAGGATTGGAATGCGAGGCCTTCCCCATCATTGTATTTTTATTTTTTAATAATACACTTCGCAAAGAGTAAAGAGGAGTATGTAAGTAATGATAAAAGATGATTAAGGAAATTTCCATATTAAAAATAAGACCCCTTGAGACGAAATGTCACAAAACACTTTTTTTTCTTGTAATTCTCTAATTTTCTGAATTTTATATATATTTATGTAAATATTAGAAATAAAGAGAAAGTTGAAAATAGGACAAAACATTTTCTGTTGAGAGAAAGTAGATTAGCCACTTGTGACCTTGAGGAGGTGCCCGTAATTTAAATATACAAATATTTATTTCTTAATCTAATATATACATTTATACATACATATATACATTTATACATATCAGTTGCTGTCTGGCTTAGTGAAAAATTCTTACTTCTATGAGTATTTGACAATAACCAGTAAACAGTATTTATGACGCTAATCAGTAAACAAAAAGTCTTTATTTGTTTTAATGATAATGTCGAGGAGATGTACTCAAATTGAGAATTTTTAAACACGTAAATATAATTGTACATTACAGCAGTAAATTGACGTTATTTCGCAAAGTAAAAACCATTGGTATGCCGTCATCTAAAGAGATTGTGTTTTTCAGAAGTAAATTTGATGACAGTGTGTACAGAGCTTATTGGAATCGTCCCATTTCTTGTGAGGATTGGTCAGAAAGTCACGATAAGCAAACTTGTCAGTTGAGGAAATGACACAAGCACTACATCAATCAAATGTCGGCGATTTTCCAGTTGACCTTTTTCCCACAAAACAACAAAAAACACGACCCACTGACCGCTTACTTATTCAGATTTCCAGTATCGTTGTAACAGCAACAATTTTTTTTACATCTTACAGATTAATTAATTACTTCGTAATTTTTCCGTTGTGGAAGTTACGTATATTATTTGTTGGTACAACGAAAAACAACACTTAATACGACAGGAGGATCAGAATAGGTTCAAACCTAATTCTACGTGTTTTACTAATTAGTAATTAGTGAGACATGCAAAGGGTGAGCATTAAACAGCTGTCTAGGTATCCCGTCACTATGAGTTTGACATCGTTCTGCTGAAGAAACGTTCTTTTAAATTACCGCATTTCCGGAACAATTGTAAAAATATAACAAAAAATTCACATTAAAAACACGAATAAAGCTAATGAATAATTGTTTTTTTAGGCGAAATACAAAAAAATTATTAATTTAACATCTAGATACATGGTAAAAAAACATACTCAATAAAAATACGTTTATCGTCGAACTTGAAGTATGATTGATCATATTGTTTACTTTACTGCTAAAAATATGCGAAACCTTATACAGAATGTCCGGGAAGGAAACTTCTAAACTTCTAAAATTGTTTATTATTTACAAAAGAAACTAATATATTTGTTCGGATAGAAAAATTAACCGAGAAGTAAAGAAGCAGTCAAAATGTGTAAATTGGATGCTTTTTTATTTCTGGGTTCATTTTTGTTTCTGAGCAAATATATTAATTTCTTTTGTAAATAATAAACAATTTTAGAAGTTTAGAAGTTTCCTTAGAAGAACTTATATTCTAAAATTTGACGTTTCCTCCCCGGACACTGTATATTTCCATTCGAAAATTGACATCAAACATCGAAAATTTACACTGACACGTATTAGCTCACTCAGTTTAGGCCAAAACAAGTGATTGAAGAGAAAATGGAGGAGTTGGTAAACTTGGCATGATTGTTTGTTGGTACCTACTGTTTATTATCTTAAATATTGATAAACGTGGAGGGTGAGCCGGGGTGGGGTGGCGGGCTTTTAAGTTGTTTTTCTAAGTTTTTTTTACATATATCTCCATAATTATTTATCCCACCGAAAATTATTCTCTATATAAAATTAAAATTCTGTAAATGTTCTACAAAAAGTTCCGATAGTGTTTTGTCATAAAATTATTATTTCTAAGGTTATAGGCTTGAAAAGTTCTTGTTTTTATTTACAATGCCCTTTTTAGATATCGTCCTTGTAAAAATGGTGTTATGATATATTGCTTGGAAGTACTTTTAGTTTTGTTGAACAGTTGCCAACAATATGTATTCGCATAATTTTCGAATACATATAAAATTCATATTTAATTTTTTGAATATACGAGTAGTTTCAGCGAGAAAAACAGGCTATTTTGTAAACTATTTTCTCAACAACGGCTTCAAATTTTCACTTAATTTTGATTGCCCTCGCAGGAAGCACAGAACGGTGAAGAAACTGGAGCTGGTGTCACTTTCGGCAAACACTCTGTATTTCGAAAGGGGCGAGTGGGGGAAAGGGGCGAGGCAACGCCTTTGTAATTTAGGGTTAATAATCCAAGCTGGCGAAGATGCCTTCCATTAGTTCGTCCTTGAATAATGCAAATGTCATCAGCCCTCCCACCTGAGGCAAGGAGTAAACACGCGTTGGGCGCCGCTACTGCAACGAATGCGAACGCAACGGTCAGCGTCCACGCGAAGCACCGCTGGCCAGCCCCAATGAGCCATCGCCATCTTGGACACGTGTCCGGTTGAGGAGAGCGCGCCGGGAGCGGGGACTTGGGCCGCTTATGACTATGCACACGACATCACCATCATCTAATTAAATCTCAAATCATTTACTCTTATTCACAGGCGACAAGATGTCTTGATGTTCATAACCTGCACCAAAGCCGAACCTTATTGCCTCCGCGATTCCGTGCGCGTCAGATGAGCAGCAACGCTGGCTGAGAGAGACTCTCACGCTGATTGCTCAGAGCAGGTCACATGACGTACCACAGCACGGCCAGTGATCTCAACATCATAGCTGAATGCACACCTGCAATGCTTGGAAGTGCTGAAAATCGTGACGATCGTTTTTCGTTAGGTTGGCTGCGGTGAGCTTCTACCTTCACACTTCCTTACGTGTAAATGGTGTGTTCTTACTTAGTGGTACTTACAATCCCCTCGGTAATCGAAAATGCCAAAGTATTACGTAGTATTCGGTTGTAAAGAACTCCAATAAACAGAAAACTAGATGCGAATGTTATTAGATGAGATTTTATTTGGTAGCCATTACTTTAATAATATTTTTTAAAGACTATCATTTGCTTTAAATTGATCTAACGAAATTATTAAAGATGAAATGATAATAAATGAAGAATACTCCCTTGCGCGAATGTAAAAAATGTCTCCAACAACTGAAAGACTGGATTTTATTAAAGTAGTGTCAAGTAATTGAATCATCAAAGTATTAAATATTGGTTACTTTCAACTTTTTATTGAGTTTTAGTGAACATATAGGAGAATAAATACTTAAATTTGGAATGAGGCGCTAATTCCTGCTATTTGGTTCTGAGAACATAATGCCGGATCGGCACGATTTTTCAGAACAGTGTGTTTTCTGCAGTCTACGCTAGAGCTCGCTGAGCACGGCTGCCCCGCGCTCGCAACGAATTGCAGCTTGAGCCAGTTGAGGTGCCGACAGTCAAGCACTAGTCATCGGGAGAGGTGGCTCAGGGCATCGACTGATGTACTGCAGTGCCTCTGACCGGGGGTCTTGGGGTTTTATTCTCGATAGAAGCAAGATTCTAGACACTGGCTACATAGCTTCAATTACTCATGTAGTTACATGCGTAATTGGTTATGTCTCATGATTTTCTGTATGATTAGCCCTAAGAATGGAGTAAAATGTAACTCGAATCGTTGATCTTGTATACCATTTAATTACTGACCAACCAATTAACAACTTTAGAAAATTTTAAAGAAGAAAATGAAGCATTTTTGAGAAAAATATTTTTTTTATAAATTGCATTAACTTTAATAAGAAATTACGGGGAAACTTTTTTTTGCAAAAAAAATGGACACGACCTCTTTTACAGGTCTAATTTTTTGGGACATATCTATAGTCAGCATCGTAATTGGGCAATGTTATTTTTGCAGTTTTTGAAAATTCAAAGAGGTCGCCGAAATGGGTCCACTTTTTACTTTGGGTCCTTTGCTCTATACGAGCAAAACATTTAAAAAAGAAATTTCTAGCCGTTCTTCAGACAATAATTGTTTAAAGTTTTAAAAGTTTGAAGATGGGGCCTAATTTTCACGCAAAATTTGATGAAAACTACTAACATTTTCGGGGGCCTAATCTTTCTTCAGATTGATCGGGTGAAAACAATTTGGAGAAAAGCTTAACAGTCTCGGCGCTGGCGTTGGCGTTGGCCACAGACGGACGAACGGACGGACAGACAGACGAACAGACGAAGTATCGTCAGTCGAGTTTTGGGGAACGATGTTTTGGGGGACTTTTGATTGAAAGAGTCTCCCGTTCATCTACTGCCTTACTTTCTCTGTGCACCTCTGCGTACAAGGGAATTATTTCTTTGCTTTATTTCACAGAAAAACTACAACATGAAAATCTATCAAACTCGGATCTGTTCCGTTCCGTTCCGTTTTGACTTGTAAGTGAACAAAAATGTAGCGGAATATATAGTAAGTAAAATAAGTTCAGAAAGTAAGGATACCAAAATATGTAATATAAAAATGAATTAATTAATTCAATCAAAATGTATTGGAAACGCCCAAAACCTTATTTAATGGAGATATTGAAAGGAGATTTACTATTTCTAAGAATGTTTTCACCTGTCAATCTGTTTCCTAGTGATGAGTTTATCTCTCTTCAAAAGCTACGTGCTGCTTCTATTCTCTCTCGGAATGAATCGCCCGCACCACTTCTGTCTCTCATATGAGCATCATGTTTCAAATGTTAACCTCAAAAAGAGATTCCGGTCCTTTTCAGTTACATCCTGTGGTGCCATTTTACACCAATACATTATAACACATGACCACGAAATTACATCTTTCACGACAGGGATTTTACTCAAACACATAATTTATAATCTAAACATAAAATTGTTATTCTATTCAGATTAGAAAATCATTCCTCATACAATAGTCAAAATAGTTATACAATTAAGCATAATTTTGCAAATTATACCCAACAGCTCTTTGGTACCACATCGAAACAAGTCCAAATTCATAGTCCACACGTCAGATAAACACACCGTCATTTCAGATCTGTCTAAACTATAGCACTCAACATTAGGTTTCCGGTCGCCTTTGTTACCTCCACAGTTTGTGCGAAAAACCTCGAACAAAGAACAAGAACAATTCCGAGCTGAAGTGCGAGAGCATGGAGAGCGCGTGTTCGTGACGTGCGCAGTGTGCGACGTAACCGCGGCCCCTGGTTACGCAACGCCGCCAGCGCCGCCAGGGCCCCATTTGCTTTATTTTGCCAAAGAACATTAAAAACTGCGAGTCACACCTGGGAGGAGAAGCATCTACAATCTGCACACGTTTGCTTCAGCTTTGGAATCCCTTCCACACCTTTTAACACCAATAGTTGAATGATGAACAAAATAAAACACAAAGCGGGGTTAGTAACATTTGAAAATACGTTTTCGTTCCCGAGTTATAGAAAATTGTATGTATTAGTAAACGAACTACACAATTGAGTTGTTAGTATAAAGTAATAACCCACATTCAATCGCCTCTACTCCTGCCACTACAAGCAAAAGCAGATCTCAACTAAACGTGCGCATAGAAAAGCTATATTTATGACAAGAAGTAAAACAAGGGGCCACCTCAGCATTTGCTCAATGGATCGGGTAAACTGAACAAAAACCTGATCGAGATGGGAGTATTTCACTTCAGTTTCCAACGGACATATTTTTTTAAAATTAATTGATATAATGGTGCTACAACAACTCGTACTTTTGTCGCATTATAGTAACGGCTACACAATATTAGAATACTCCTTCAACATACATTTGTGTAATTTTTGAAAAATTAAAATATTACATCAAAACAGCATATATGCCAGCCTAATCAGTGTATCCTTTCAAAACGTTTTTTTTTTAAATTGGAGCGTTAACTTGAGAAAATAATTTTTAAGAATTACCTACATTTAACCCAAAAGTAAACTATAATTACTAACATTTTCGAAAAGTTGTGCATGGTCTTACTTTAAGTTCTATCTTTGAACAACATATTTTATTAAGGAAACTAATGTTAAAATAGCACATACTTCCTCGTAAAGAATCGTCCTCAACGTTCAGAGAGTTAATCAAAAATGAGGTCACTAAGTGGTAATATGTTGAAAAAAGTATGTAAACGTTAGTGATTACGGAGGCTCTCAATAAATGATGAAGCTCGTTTATAATCGTTCATGGTCAAACTTTTACAATAGTGAAGATATCTTCCGTTTTATTTGTAACTATCAATGCGCATGCCTCATAAAAATATCATACCTTGCGAATAAGGACTCTCTTGATTTTTTCACACTGGCCAAGTTATCGAGGTAAGATATTTTTTACTCCGTGGACTACCCTAGTCTCCAGCATTGGCAATGCCAATCTACGCACGGGGAGAAAACGTCGAAATTAAGTTCTTAAGACCATTTTAAGCAAATTTTGTCTGGCACACTACTTGGGTATTCTGAATGGCTTAGCCACAATAAGCAGTCAAAAGTTGGTTTGAAAAAAAAAAAAAATTAGGCAAAAATTTGCATTGCAGAAGCATATGTATACTCCAAAGCATGTAAATTCTTTATATTTACCAAAGAAATGAATATGTTAATAAAGAAAAAACTTGCCCAGGAATTAAAAACAGTTGAATTGTATAAATTGGGTGCTTTCTTATTTGTATTAATTTTTCTTTCAGAACGCGGCCTAGCTATGTAGCTAGTGCCGAAAATCCTGCTATCGTCGGGACTCGGACCCCAGGACCTCCCAGTCACAGTCGCGAGGGCGTTAATGACAATACGCACCCCTTCCAACCCCAACAACGCAATAAGACAACGATGACAAGCATTTGTCAAATACATTTGTCTGTGAAGCCTGAGCAAGCACCTGCTGGAGATTACTTTGGCTTTGCCAACATCCGTCACACCGGGGCTAGACAATTTTGGTCCAGGGGCAATACCTCACTTAGCCCCCCCCCCTCCCGCGCCGCCGAAAAAATTAAAAAAGTTTTATTAACAACTACTATAATTAACTAAGTCAAAAAATATAATCGAAAATTTTATTAAACATCAGACTACTATACTGCGACTTATAAAATTACGATGACGTTTTCCTGGAATTGTAATTTATTTTTCAATTCTTTGCTATTTTCCCCATTAGTCACATCATTGCCCCCTCGACTTTCGGCGCTTGATCCGCGGAACTGCTGCTACGGGGCGATTTCTATGAGAAAGGGCCGTTCTGACTTCTAGAGCTGCCAACATAACGGGAGGTTCTGTGGTCGTTTTCTCCTTCAGCCCGTTAAACTGTTTTGGTGTACGGGGGTGGTTCCTTGTATGCCGCCTTAAAGTGAAAATATTTAAACAAAATCAAAAGAATAGGACGAAAATCTTGGACATCATATAAGGTTAGAAACAATATATGGTCATGACAAAATAACGACCTCTAAAGTTCACGTGTTGTCATAAAATCTTGAAAATGATGATTGATTTTGGTCACTTGCAACATCAAAAAGTAGCTAGCACCATTCTCATAGACGAAGGTATTTAAATGAAATATCTATATTGCAATTACGCTTGTTTGGATGGGATTGCTGTAAAAAACAAATATACAAGTACACTGATGTAAATTTGTGTGCTCAGATTGTTAAGAGCACTTAACGGATAAAAATAATTTACAGAATAAAACACACTAATTTCAAACTATTTTTCAACTTTGAAGAAGTAACCTAAATTTTAATTTTTGAAATGAGATAGATTTTTTAAAGAATTTAATAGTTTTAAAATAATAGAAACACCAAGTAAGATGACTTTCGTTGAACTTTTCCTTTCTACTTTTCCTATTCTTCATGGTAATATTTAAATTAAGGGTATTAGAAAGCCATTAAACAATAAAGTTCAAGCCCAATGGAATGTATCCGCTTCAAATTTGAACCAGAGGGAGGAATTTATTGAAAGTGGTGGAGGGGTTCACACATTTAAGTTGTAAACGAGTTTAAATTAGCCTTGAACTGGGTATAAATTGGTTTGACCTAATCGTCCACAGTACACAACTAAGCTAGATATACGACAGAGAGAGAGGTACGACCGCTGTTCGGGGGTTCCCCCTGTATCTGGCACGCAGCTGGGCTGCATCACGTGGCATTCCGACGCAAGAATATTGCACAGTCAAACTAGATACATCCAGTGAAAACTCATTCATTCCGTACATACAGAAGAACCCACTTATGAGAGGTCTTCCTCATTTAATTCATATTCAAAAGGGAAAAGTAAAATGTTCACAGTTAATAACAGAATTTGGGCAAAATTGATAGTTCAATTGCAAATAAATGTCTATATACACGTTACCATATTTATATTATCGAAAAAGAAGACATTTATTATAAAAAAAAACAGGAGACTTGGTATAAAATGTTTTACCATAATTTATTTTTTCTGAAGACAAATACTTACTACTGACAAAATAAATACTCCAATCATTTTATCACTTTAACAATCACACATTAAGCCTACTTCATTATTATTGCTGTATTTTCCACTTTTGTACCATAAGTATCTGGTGGATGATGAAATATTCCTTAACAATTAGAACATTTTCTTTGCTTTGAAACTTGCAACCAACGCTTCGAACTTTTTTAAGTATTATATCATTAAACAAGGCTTTTATTTTTGTTATCCTGCTCGAAATATAAACAGAACAGTATTAACTTCACAGGTCAGCAGAACAGTATTAACACAGACCACAGAATCTATAAAGAGCATCAGCGTGAAGCGTGAAGTGAAAAAGTAGAAAAAAACGCAGAATACTTCGTACATCGTACGCCTAAGTTGCATTTAAAAGTTAACCCCCTGTCCAATAAAAAAAAGTACATTTTGTCCCTTCTTACAAAATCTACCCAAACAGTTTTCCTTACTTCAAAATGAAGTCATGTCCGGGGAAAACTGGACCTATAGCATCTCCATCTATGTTATAATTCCGTATCCACGCAGAAGTTGACAGATTACAAATCACCTACGGCCATGTGAGGTTTCAACGGTTTTGTTAGATATCCAGGATCTCGGGGGGGAAATACAAACACAATGAAACAGTTTCAATTTTTTCTGAAAAATGCGAATATTTGATTGTATTATTCACCTACTGCTCCTACCGACTGAATTCTCAAATTCAATGTTTCACGACTTAGGAGACAGCTGATGTCATGCGACAGTAAGGGTGAAAAGAAAAGGACGCACACCATTAAATATTTGCTACTTACATTTTAAGTTACAAAATATTTTTTTGATATTCTTGTAGGGTAAAGAACTGTTGTACTGTGTATATCATATGAATATACTACACGATGTTACTACTGCAATCCTGAAAATTAATTTTCTGAAATATTTGATAGGAGATTACGTAATGTAATACAAGTGATACAGTATTTTATATCTTGTTCTCGAGCGACGTGTATGCTACTTTTTGAAAAAATACATTTCGTGAGGTTACGTCCAGTTACTTTTTTGCTGCTGTTTCAGTGTTCTAGATCAGGGGTGACCAACTTGCAGTATCCCAAGGGCCACAACTAAAACGTTTATATGGTTGCGGGCCCTATTTGTCACTACTCGGCGAGCCGCACGTGATCCCGCATTGTTGACTTTGGCAGTTTGTCCGGGTGCTCAGAAACCAGTAGTGGGATGCAACTATTCGTGACATCAGGCCGTACCATGCATAACGCAGTGGAACACATTGGGATGATTTTTAATTTATGAATTTTCTAGAAAAAAGAATCCATAAATGGAAGCTTGACCTCTTTTTGCCTGAAGGGGGCGTTGACCCCGCCTAGCCGCACGGTGTAGATGCAAGGGGCGTCCAAGATTGTCTAATGGCCGTTCGCGGGCCGCCACTTGGACAGCCCTGCTCTACACTATGTTTCTCCTTTCCATTGAGTGCGCAAATCGAAAGAACACTGCGAAGCCTTGGGTCGTGTGAAAAGAGTGGATGGTTTCGATACTAAAATAAGAAATCAACTCGCGCTAAAACAGAACGTCCTTTCTCGCACGTATTTTGACGCAAAATTGTGCGAAAAGCACTCAAATTCCCGAAATATTGTACACGACCTTATTTCAAAATCTATCTTTAAGCAACACTTTTTATTAAGTAGAAAATCTCTATCTTCATAATTGTAGTTGTAGAAAGTCGCCGAAATCTTTTTGAGCGATTGCACTTTTTGAAAAATTAGACTTTTCAACGAACATGAGACATGTACCATTCCTTTAAACTTTTACACTACGCAACAACAAAATTTAATAAGAAACGATGGAGCCATTTTTGAAAATTTGGAAAAAGTTTCCGAGACTTCTTGTAAACTACCTCCAAAATTAAAATGTCTGAATCAAATTCAAGGGGCCGCGACATCAGCCAGATCGGTTGAGAAATATCAATTTTGAGGGAAACAGGCCGAACGGTTTCACAGGCAGGCAGACAGATTTTTATCCGTCAATCGATATTTCGATAGCAAAAACCTCCGAAACGTGGATTTGTGGCTACACCACGTGTTAGAGGGTTTTTTTTCTAACTTAATCAACTACATTTATCCACGTTTTCGTTACAAGGGCACAGCAAAAAGAGTTTTTCTGATGAATTTTCGTCTTTTTTCGCACAGCATTACATTACTTCCTCCCTACTCCGTAACGAGAAAGTAAAATATATAAACTAATGTAAATCAATAAACAAAATTAGAAAGTGATTTTTGCACTTACAAATTTTCTATTGAACTCTAAGGAAAACATCTTCCGCTGCAGAAACATATACTCGTACAAAGGGATCAGTAACGTGAACAATTATTTTGATAGTCGGGCATGCCTAATTACATGCAGCGCGTAGTCAATATGTAACCGGTCAAAATTCTTCGAATTCATTTCACAACAATTGACAAATTTCTTATGGTATTCTCTATCATTTTTTCTATTCGACTTACTAGAGAATGATCAAATGAAAAAGTATTTTGCTGGAATGCAAGGGAAATGCGCTTCAAAACTTTTTTATCTAAAATACTATTCATACAGAAAATTTTATTAAAAGTTAGCTATTGCAAATTTAATTTTAAGGGAAAGGTAAGCAGACAAAAGCCTCTCTTTGTGTTTTGGCGATTGTGACCGGTCCGTGCACATTCGTTTTCTGACTTGACTTACATCTGAATGGGTGAAAACCAGAACGGTGTAAGTGACATTTTATAAATTCTGAGAAATCTGTATATTTAAGTGATTATTACTGTAAGGTCGTGGCACTTTCAACATTAAAATCACGGCATTTCACTTGCTCATTAAAAACACGAAAATACATTGCCACTGAATTATAACCTAAAATAAACACGTTTTCCTCAGAGTCAAGTTGTCAAGTCAAGTTGTCAAGAGTCAAGCAGGCAAGTCAAGTTTTTGTTGAAAATGATGTTCATTTGCTAATAGATTCTCCTCATGATTACCATTCCCACGTTTTTGAAAGAGCAGGTAAGTTCAACATTTTCTGATTGCTGAATAATGGGCATATTTATTTACAAATATCACGTAAATTCATAAAATCAGAAACCAACGCAATAAGTGAAGTTAGTTGAAAATCCGTTATAACGACCAAACTTACAGGGAACTTGAAAATGAAGATTTTTCAGGAAAACAAATATCTTCGGTTTTTGTTATAGCATTGTTTTCAACATAATTACCAGTGTCACTTAATTGAATCATAGTACCAGTCTTACTTAATTGAATTTTGCGTAGAAGCAAGTTTTGAGAAGATTTATATCAATTTGAAGTATGGAATATGTTTGTTTGAATTCTCTACTAAATAAAAGTATATAATTCATTAAAATACCAATAAAAAGTATTTTTTAGGTAATTTAAAAAATTATAACCACTAGACGAGTCACTTAGTAAAGCTACTGTTGCAACAAGAGAACATATTTTCTCCCTTTCTTTGTAACCGCAACTATATTATGATACTGCATGAAATTTCTCATCAATATTATAGTTGCAAATGTTAATTTTTGTTTCAAAATTAGAAACTTCTAGTTTGCCGAAAATATGACCTGCACCATTTTTAAACAATCCTTACTCTATCTATGGAATAGATAAGAAAAAAAGCTGGAACCTTTTAGGAGAATTTTTTTGTTAATTGCCATTACTTCAAGGGTAAATTACGAGAAAACTTCTCAAATGTTCCACAACATTTACATGACCTTATTTAAATATCTATGTTTTGTAACAGTCATTTACGAAAAGCATCTTTATCAATATTGGTTGCTTACGATTAATATTTTGGGGATTGTTAAAAATACAGAGAATTTGCCGAAAATAAGATCAGTACTATATTTTCTACTTCCCACTACTATATCAGAAGAAACAATTTAAAGAAACAATTGGAGCTAGTTTTGAGAAAATATTTATTTAAAATTGCCTTTTCCTAACAAATTATGCCACTTATAGTACATTATAACACCTTACTTCAATATTTGTCTTTGAAAAACACATTTTATTTGGGAAATTTATATCATCAATGAAAAGTAGGAATAGGTTAGTATAGGAAGAGATCAAAATTGAATTTTTGCAATTTTTTATTAATTCAGACTTTTAGAAAATAATATTTATACAATTATTTAAGTTTTCTTTAATGCTATCCGGGGAAAAGTTTCTTTAGCTTACCATCAACCAAATGCATACTGTTCATTTTCAATGGTTTGTTTAATGTGATTCCGAGTGTGAAATGCAAAACTAAACTGCAACCATTTTTCTTTCACTTACTATTCATTTGCTAATACGAAACAGAATTGAAACATGTGAAATCGTACTACTCATTGCTTAGTTTATGCAAAGACAATTCGTGCCATCAGCAAACAAAACTATTCTTCCGTTTCTAATGGACTGGGGTATTACAATATATTGTGCTCTGTAGTATACGCTCATGTTTTCTTTAGCGCTGGAATACCTACCCCCACTCCTTTAATAACATTAATTTAATTAATAAATGTTGGCGACGAGAGTTCTTGACCAAATATATTTATCAGAAACGTTCGCTTACAGAAATGTTTCAGACGCTATCTTGCATTGATATGAAGTAGTGCTGGCATCAGGGTAGCCAACCGCCGTCCATTCGGGAGCGCAGCCTCCATTGCCATCAGTTGCTTCCCGTCCTTTGTATTTTCAATGTCCGCCTTCTAATAATTTGTTAATATTTGATGCCACTTATTTTATCACATGACTAACACTGCTATTTTATGTCGTTTAATTTAGAATAGAAAACTCGAAAAACCCTTTTTCTGAAAGCAGTCACATACAAATGACACAGACATGCATGATAGTGTCTCTGACCAGCGGCGAAAATAAAACAAAGGCAAACTTGAATCGCAAATGGAGACAACAAAGAAAGAGTTAATCTAAGTTACATGTTAATTTAGATGTTAGTCTAAATTAAATATTTATAAAAATAAATGTTGATGCGCGTTTTTTGTTAACATTTATTTATTTTGATTATCGAGGATTCAAGAAAACGTGCCTACCGTCAGGGTCCCCCGGGCGGCAAATCGCCTTTTTCGCTATTCCGCTCGCGTATAGAAATCAATAGGTTTAACTGTACATAGAAAATGCAGGTGACTATACTAGAGCGGTGTATGTCGAAACGTTTATCGCCTTTTCTAGCCGATTCCTCTCACCACTCCTTCCTCCCTAGTCGATAATACGATTCGTATCTCGAGAGGTGCTGTGTCGATCGCTGTGCTGACGGGCGATAAATCGAATAAGGTTGATAATTACATGCTTTCAGTTATTTAAATTTGTCGCATTTTGGAACTCTGTTGGTCATAATTTCATTCGTGGAATGGTCCTATTACATACCGCTCGTATCTTTGGAAATTCTCCGATAAATCCCCTCGCTTCGCGAGTCGGGGATTTTTTGACAATTTCCAATGCACTCGTGGTATCATCTATGACAATAGCTCCGTTCAGCAGGAATTCAAAGGATAATATAAAAACGCAATAGCAAAAGTACAGAAATGTCATTTATTTTATATTCAAGTTTCCGCATCTCTCTGTTGGATAGAATAGATTTATATTGATTGACTGATTGGTGATTCCGGGCACTTCAGCCGCTAAGGTAATTCGTCCCGTAAGTGCATTGCATGTTCACTCGCGGGAGATGGTGGTGGCGTTGCCCCGCAGGATGGGAAGACCCGCTGCTCCCCCGACATGCGTGGTAGAGCGGCGCATGCAAGATGTGCGTTGATCGGAGACACCACGGAGCAGAGCAGCCGGCCTCTACACCTTTCCTGCAGAGCGCGACTGCGTTCGACCTAGCTGAACAAGCGACTATCGAACATCCTGCCGCCGTCGGCAGTGGAACCCGGGGCCCTCGCGGTGAGAGGCCCTGCAGGGACATCAGTTGATGCCCTGAGCCACCTTTGCTGGTGGATTTATTTAGGATATCCAATAAAACAACATACAAAAATTGATATAATAATTTTATTGTAGTATATCCGGATTCTAAGATTCCGTTTTGAATACTTGCCTTATCATTGTATTGCATGCATACATTTACGTAATGAACCGACACATTTCATCTCCTTGATATATACCTCTGAAATGACAGAAAGAAACTAGACGTAGTGGTACCTGTCTATCCGGGACGCTCGGCCTTCGTGCTGTGGCCGCCTCCACAGATGCTGCTGCCTAAGGCCCAGCGTAGCGCGATGTAAAGTGTAGTTCTGAAGAAGGCCACAACACGATGACCGAAACGTCAGCTCCATCGACTGAGACGCGGTTCACCCGAACAGCCAGTCAAGCGCCTCCGGCCGCGGAAGCCTACGAAGCCACGTAAAAACGGACATTCATCTTGTCAACAGTTAAGGTAACAATTGATATTTAGACGTTTAAGTTCCATTCCATTTCAGACCAATTTCATATTTTATCAAATTTGGTCATCCTTCTCTATCATTTTTCTGCCCACTGCTTTAAACATTATTTCATTTGATTTATTTTACCAGTGAAGAGTAAACATTTATAGGACGTGTGGGGACGAAATACATCGAATTCAATGCCGGAAGCAAGAGCGGTTATGAAATAGTTTGTCAATGGATTCCGAGCAACCTATGGCTCTCGCACAGCCTGAACTCCCAAAGCAATGTGGGCCGTTTTCTACCATGCACTCGTAACAATTGTCTATATGATTTATAAAATCTCTAATGTATAAATTTGAATTTGATAATTTTGATTGTCATATGGTATAACAACTGTTATTGATATGTAAATTAATAGTGATTGGTAATGTTGGTTATTTGTTATAAAATGACCTAAAATAAATAATTTAAAACAACTGTCCACATAATCGAGAAGTGCTGCTAGCGAGCCTAACAGGAAACGAGGCATGATACACCTAAGGTCCCATGAAAATAGATTGACAGATAGTGTGAAGGAAGACTGGCAATCGGAATGTGTAAACGAAACTAATGAGACGCCTCCGAGTTGCCATTGATAAACAAGCGATCATCATGCAGCGAACCAGCTGCCATCTTTCCGGCACTCTGATGAGAGTCATATTTTATTTTATATCGTAAGACGTTTCGTTGAGTTGATCTTTCATGTATTGTTGATGTAATTAAACAACGATGTTCTTAAAACTCGATTAATAACCATAGAACGTCTCATGATGTGCCCAATTTCAAAGCAGTATCGTTAACTAACCTTTAATTGAGATTTAACTGAAAAAACAGTCAAAAATCATCAGAAAAGTATACGGAACTTGGATGGTCAGCTTCAATAATTTAAAAATAATATGGATTTATTTATTGACAAAAAATAGAGTTTATTTTTCACTTTTGGTTACTTTGGTCTGAAAAAATTCAATTTATGCGTATTTGATAATTAATATAGGATTTTATTATCATGGTCCTTTTTCACTAAACAAAAAATCAGGAATATAAAACACTGAAAACAAAACCTTCATAAAAAACGCTATTAAAAACGTAGATGCTTTTCTAAAAACATCCGTATTTTGAGAACTTCGATTGATTATTTAGTGTTTGCAGGCGCGTGAACGTCTAAGGTCACTAGTCTCGTAAGTATAGTGCATGCTTTTTCTAGGAAGGTGGTAGTGAACTCCTGCTCCTGGATGGCGAGATCCGGCGCACACCTACCGGGGTTTTCCCCAACCAGGTATCTCCCACCAGCGGGGCACCGCCTCAGTAGGGCCATGCCCCAAGTTCCCGACCGGCCTCCCGGCGTGTGCAGTAGTGTAGTGCGCCTTAGTGTGAGTGTGTGTAACGGGTGAGGAGAGGACAAGGAAGAGGAAGGAAATATGGCGCGCGGCCCCTGACCCGTTTCTGAGGGTACTGTTCCGGCATTCACCTGGTGTTGATCGGAGGAACCACGGAAAACTGCCGATCAGAGCAACAGGCCGCTAGTGTCCCCCTCCAGACAGCGACTGAATTCCACCGAGCTGTCTAGCTAGCGTCGAATATCCTGCCACTGTCGGGACTCGAATCTCGCACTGCAGTGACATCAACAATTCTGCGTTAAGGAGGCAAAATGTTACAAGTCACTTTTAAAATTTCCATGACAGGAATTTTATGCTTCAAGATGTCATGAAAACTACTCTGTGACTTATTTCAATTTGGCACCATTTTTGTGTCTACACAAACTACAAGAGAAATGCAACTTTTACCTCCTAAACATTAACGAACAAGAGTGACTTTTGTGATTTTAGCTTTTTGTCATAACAATGTGACTTATGCCATTTTGCCATCTAAGCCAGAGTTGGAGTCCTGAGCCACCCAAGCCCGTTTGAGAGCAGCCACATGGTGCAGTGGCGTGGAGTAGTGCGGGCGGCAGGGTCAGCAAAATTTCACAATAAATAATATTAACAATACCCTGTAAAATTTTAAACATTTCGCTTCATATGTTTGTCGCACCTACGATTCGGGCCAATTGAAATGAGCACGGAATCTTCCATTGCTTATTCTGTGACTTCTTCTTTAAATGACAACTTGTTCGTTGTAGCGAATGGCAACACTGCCTGTACTGAGCTGTAGGGATCCCTTGTATTTTATTTTGCTCTTGGATTGTTTACGACTAATATTCAGCGAGAATTACTTTTATCATAGAAAGAGTAGCGTTCAATATTGTGTAATAACCTGCAAGTTAGATGACAGTCGGAGAAGTCCTTCGTGTCCATGGGTGACGCTTTGGCAATTGAAAGAAAGTTTGTGATGGATCTTCTGTCATCCAATTCACATTAACTTAATTGTGTATATGTATGCGCTTTCCAAACTATGATGTTAGTGCTTACAAGTACACGTAGATATTGTTAAGTTATTAACCTTTGTTGAAATTTTTTATTGTCGTGTACGTATACATTTGATGCTGCTCGCATGCGGCGCCCGCAGCGGCGAGCACGAGTACTCACGAAGGCGTCCCAGGGGAGCCGGTTGAGGAACTCGGCCGTGACGTTCCAGCCGTAGATGGTGAACCACAGGGTGCCCTGGAAGTTGTCGCCCGCGTTCAGCAGCAGGGCGTTGGGCCGCTCGCTCAGCAGCTGGCGCGCCTTCGCCACCACGCGCGCGATCCCGCCCACACACGACGCCTCCTCGCCTGCGCACGCGCACACGCACGCAAGCACGCTACACTTTTCATTCGTTCAGCTACGTCAACAACAGTCAAAACTCTACGTGGCTTGCTACAGGGAGAAGTTCATTTGAAGTTACATTTATGCTCAGAAGCAAAACAAGGCACTATATCAGCATTTGCCCAAGGTTCAGGGAAAATGGACGAAAACATGATCGAAATAGAGGTCATTGACCAGAAGCTGAAGTAAAATACTTGTTACAGGTTCTTCATAGTTATACAGTCCACATGGTAAATAATACATTAAATGTCATTGTTAAAATTAATATTACTTGCCTTTTGGATGCTCGGAATAGTCTCCAATTGTATAGAAAGAGTTGGGCAGTACAAAAGATTTGACTTAGAACTAAAACTTTGTATCGATTTTAATCTTTTAACGACATCTCGCAAAGTGTATAAAATAATGTATTTGAATAATGTATATGTATTGTATGTGAATTTTTTGTAGTGAGCTATTGAAACTGTCACCTGAATATGATTAGTACATCGACTGTTTTACAGTTACAAATATCAGCGTTGACTGAAAATATGTACCCGTCCTTAAGTAAGTCGGTTTTGACAAAAACCACGGATTCGTAAAAAAAGAGACAAGGTAATGGTAAAATACCTAATTAATAGAGGCTTACCATAATCACGCGGGTGGAATTTGTTTATTATGAAATGTCCTATCACATTTTTGTATTAAATGTTTTTATCACATGTTCATTAAAAAACTAGTAGTGCTAAACAGCACGTTCTTTCTCGCTCGTACTTTCACGCAATATTACGCGAAAGTACTCAATGATTGATTGAATGTTAGTTACTCCGGGCGCAACTACTAGAGCCATTAGTCCCGTACGTGTGGTGCTGTTTTTTTGCTCGGCAGGTGGCGGTGGTCTTTCCCCCAACCAGGTATCTCCCACCAGCGGAGCACCGCGCCAGCCGGGACAAACGAGGCTCCAGACCGGCCTCCCGGCATGCGAGGCAGTGGAGCGCGTTAGGGCAAGGAAGAGAAAGGAGAGATCGCAAGCGGTTCGCGGCATGTAGGTTAGGCTACTGCTGCAGCAATTTGCCGTGATCGGAGAAACCACGGAAAACTACCGATCAGAGCAGCCGGCCTCTAGAATTCTCTTCCATACAGCGACTGAATTCGATATAGCTGACACGCTACAGTCGGAAACCCTGCCACTGTCGGCAGAGTAACTCTAAGTGTAACTAAGACCTCCCGGACAGTTGCTGCCCTGAGCCACCTCTTGCGGTGAAGAGTATTCAAATTTTCGTTACGTAGTGCGAGACCTTATTTCAAAATCTGTAATTAAGCAACTGATTTCATTAAGGGATAACACCTCGATCTTTAATATTTTAGTTGTAAGAAGAAGTTACACCTGAACATTTGAACATCGTCTTACTTTTAGCACTAGAGCTAAAAACTGAACTTTTAGCACGCTAAGCGTACCCTGAAGTAGCATATAACATTTTTCCTCACGTGACACGTTTAGCTGAACGTAGTAATAGCATGTTTACACTGATAATATTAGTAGTGGTACAGCAGCGCATACTTTCTCGTACTACTATACAACTATTAACGGTTACGAATCATAATATTAAAATATCATTTTTTAGAATACTTTTCTCATAACATTCCACTTATTAACAAATATTATGATATTGCGAAAAATTTAACTTCATATCTTATAATTAAAGTTAATAGCCTGAAGAAGGAAACAATGTTTGTCGAAATGTAATGTTTATTATAAATTCTGTATGTAACAATAAGATAAGAACAGTATGTGTAAAATTATTACTCAATTTTATAAAATTAAAGAAAATAATATAATTGTATAGTTGCCGACGTAAAAATTCAATGCTTGCCACGCAAGTATGCCTCTTATATCTGGACGCTTCCCGTCTTAAGTTTTCGAGGCCAATAACACGCAATATGCGCCGGGCGCCTGCATTTTGCAAAATGTTTCTCCTGAGTTTCTTCGGAAACCTCACTCGAACAATTGCAATATCTGTGTAACTGTCCCTCCTGCTCATAGTATTTTGCAGTATTTACAGTCGGCAATGTAGTCGTTCCTTACAATATGTGATTGCAATCTAGTTCGGGTAAGTCCGGACTCTGTATTTCTCTATTGCAAAACTTTCTTTCATTCTCTGAAAATAAAAGTTCATTTCCTCTGTGCCTTACCGCAAGGAAAGTAATGTTAGCATAGTCACAACATTGTCTTAAAAACATTAAAAATTAGATTCAATACAATTGTGAATATGTTTTTATTAATACCCAAAATATTAAGAATTGTCATTATAACGTAAATAACATTACTGTACACAATATCATGCGCACACAAATTACAAATATAATTTTCTATTTATATACAAATTATAAACGTTAATCTTACATTGTTTCATTATTGTGTAAATATATTGTTGTTCTACAATTTACATTGACATTGTACGTTGTGGTTATATATTTTTATACTGGAATATCTACACACCGTGAAACCCAAATTCAGAGCTGTTTTCGCTTCGGCGTCGCGTTCCTGGTTTGAGCTGAGTGACCTTGGGTGCGCGAGCGACCAAGGGTGGCGGCTGGCGGCTTCCAGGTAGAGCGCGCTGCCTGTGCTAATCCGCGTTGGGAAGAAAACTGGTGATTGCCTAGGCCCCTCCCCCTTTCCCCCTTTCCCCTTTTGACGGTCCCAACCAAAAGATACACGTCATGTGCAAATAATCTTCTGAAGGAGTTTCAGTTTAAAGGATACTAACTGAACAAATATACATCAAAGAAGCATGAAGAAAAAAATTCATTTGCAGCCAATGAATGCTGAGGAAAGACAACAATTCTACGTCACATTATTTCCTTTCTCTCGAACTACTTACGTAATATACAGAAATTATTGTAATAACGCGGCAAAAAAAATCTATCCGTCGTCAACGCTGGCACCTAAACTCTTCATAACATTGTCTCCAAAATTTATATTCTTCCAACGGTCTAACCTGTGAAGGACCCGTGAGTTTTAAAATAAGATGTTCCGATTACACGATTTCCTACAAAAGTGATTTTCATCGAGCAACATGAAGGGACTTGATATCATTGTAACTTTGAAACGGATATTTTTATTTTTTGAAGGTACTTTATATAGAGCTTCAATATTTTCTCAAAACTAGCTACAAATGTTTTGATTAAACGTTTTCATGAATGTTTATTTATTTATTTATTTATTTATTTATTTATTTATTTATTTATTTATTTATTTATTTATTTATTGGCATCCTACATCACAATCTTGAAATTATCAAAATCTCTCCGAGTGAAATTTGTTATTGAAAGGCAGATCTTGAAATAACGTCGTGTTTAACTTTTCAAAAACGTAAGTAGTGTTTGCATAATTTTGCGTAAAATATAAAAAGAAAAAATCAAAAACGGCTCCAATTTTTTCTTGAACTTTTGTTCTTAAAAAGAGCTCTTTAAACTGAATTTTTAAATAACGTGAATGGAAAGCATTGGCTCAGCTCTAAGTGTGGCAATGTGTGAAGTGAATGATAACGCGTTGGCGCTCGCAGGAAGAGCTGTTGATTCGAATGCAAGCGCGAAGAAAAATGTTCGCTCGTTAGAAACACTTTAATAAAATGTCATTTTATTCTTTTCACTTTAGAAAAATGCCGTTTAGTATATAAATTCATTTTATGTTATGACAAAAGGAAATGACCCATTTTTATACATTTTTTGCATTTTTCGTCGATTTCTACCAAGTTATTTTTTACTTTTTATAATAATTTTGAATTCAGTTTTTACCGATTAATATAATTTAATTAAATAACGATTCTATCGATTAATATAATATAATTAATATAATTTTAATGGTATTCAAATAATGTTTATGAGATGCAACAAATGTCCTGCACAGAATTCCAAAGGAAAGGCAGAGGTTTCCTGGTAAAGTACTGTCTAACCATATGTTGCAAGCTAAGTTTACTTCAACGAACAGAATAAGCCTTAATTACATCAGTAGGCAGCTTAAGTTGTTCATCCGAACTGTTTTTTACAACTTTATAACACTTAATGAGCATTTTCTTGATAATTTTTAGCGATGTTTTAAGTCATCAAAATCCGGTTCCCTAATATTAATACAGCAAAGCCGTTCGAAGTAATGCGAGAAAGTATGTATTATCGCAGTAGCACTAGTTAAACACATTCACTCGAATAATTCCGCTAAAATACTAAATATAAAATCTCTGAAATCAAAATTAGTCACCGACAACATTCACAAGAATTAGACACTTTAAACAACAGCAACCTCAGGCTTCCTATCAAAACAAGATGTCTGCCAGTGATTTTACTCGCGGAAGAGGCCGCCAGAAAGCAGCGTGTTACGTAGCGTCATGAAGGACACCGATTCGCCTTTCGCCTCTTTTTCTCTCGACACGAAGAGTTAAGGTGTCTGAGCCGGCAGTGACCGAAGGAAAACCAATTCAAAATGGTTACTACAGAAAGGGCTGACGAAGTAACGCGCTAGCGATCGCGGGTTCGAGTCCCGCCCCGGGCATGGTTGTATTGTTTTCGTCCCTTCACCGCCTATCATCATCATCATATTGTGTCATCCTCAGTTACCATTCCGTTACACACAACAGTAGTCGCTAATGACCTAGGAGTTGATGCGACTTTAAATAACAAAAAAAGTTACATCAGGCGTGTACTGTTTGAAAGATACCGAGAAACGCCGCAGTTGATTAATAACAGAGGCACACAAAATAAGAAATATTGTCAGGCTCAAGACTTAACACTCGTTTCTCTAAGTATATCAACGCGCTGAATCGGAAATTGAAGCCGCGTGTAACGAGTATTTTACTTCAGCTTCTGGGTCAACGACCCCATCTCTATCAGGTTTTCGTCCAGTTTCCCTGATCCTAGTGCAAATGCTGAGATGACCCCTTGTTTTGCTTCTGGACATAAATATAAATGCAACTTCAAATTAACTACTCCCCACAGCACGTCACACAGTTTTTAACATAGACATAAATAAGTAAATAAGCCAGAATTTCACCATCATCCTCCAGTTCTTTTTAAACCTCGAAAAAACACTATGAATTTGTATTATTTTTTGTTATCGGGGATCGTCAGACCCGAAGATAACACATGTTTCTCTGTGTGTCGACGCAGTGAATTCGAATCTGAAGCCAGGATTGTGTTACCACTCTCCATTTTTTAAATCGAAAAAAAAAACAACCACCCACCGTGAAATTGATGTTTTGTTGATGAATTTGGTTTGGTTTTCGGAGATTGTTGACAGACCCAAAGAATTGACACGCCATGTTCCACGTATGTCGACGCGCTGAATCCCAAATTGAAGCTGCACCAATGACCAACCGGCGACAAAAAGCGTCTTAATCATTAGAACCCGTTAACGCCCGTGATACACATGATTTAATTTTTTATGTAATTTTATTGATTCATATTTGCCTATTTACAAATTAATTAGACGTTAACTTGGTTCGGTTTGCCTTTTCATAATACCCTCCTTAAGAGAAAATGTAGCATCATTCTACTGTTTTCATATTTCCCTCGTCACCCCTCCTCTCGATCCAAGTAAGTTACGCAGTGAATATCGAGCTTCGTATCCAAGACTATAACAAGCAATTACGTAAAAATAAAATGTTTTTCGGGCGCGGGAATCATAATCTTAACGAAATGTCGAGACGAGTCCCCCGCGCCGCGTGATTCGATGGCAGTGGTGCGAACAGCGTTCACATGGACAATGTTGACTATGATTCATTATTTCATTCCGTAACGTGGCAAAAGGCTGAGCGTACCTGGCGCGCAGGCGGCCCCCGAGGGGTCCGTCTGCTCGAAGCGCGCGTGGAAGTCGTTGAGGTGCACCACAGACAGCGGGAACAGCTCGCCCTCGGCCTCGGTGTGGCCGGCGGGCGCCGCGCCCACCTGCACGCCCGCTCGCCCGCCGCTCAGCAGCGCCACCCCAAACGCACCAGCGCCCGGCGGACAGCATCGCGACGACTGCAGCACCGCGCCGCGCTCCGCCCACGCGCCGCGCGCACGGCGGGTGGAGGGGGACGGGAGGGGGAGGGAGAGGGGAGGGCGCAAGCCAACGCTCCCCCGCCGCACATCGCAAGCAAGTAGTAACAATGCATAATAATAATAATAATAATAATAATAATAATAATAATAATAATAATAATAATAAAATGTTCACCGGATTGGTCAGTATGGATAAAGAAACAATTAATAATGCCAACGTTTCGAAATATTTAATTTCTTCATCAGGGCTAGAGTATAAAGGCATCTAGTGGTGCTACAAAATGGCACAGACTTCCCCGTATTAGTTTTCTATTTCCTTTGGTTTCGGCTAGCTATTCGAGCTTGCTACATATTCTTGCCACATCGCCGCCTAAAATACATTTCTTTTAAAGTTTTCTTACTTTTTTGGTTTACTAATAATAGAACGGAAATATTAATTTAAAAATATTAAAAAAAATAGTAAAACTGCGTCCTAAATAGCAAATTTAATTGAAAAATTTGAAGCCGTTTTGAACAAAATTACGCTTATGAACGCCGAAATGAACTTTACGTCACATTAAAGAGTGCAATTAGCACTATGCGTTCGAAAAGTTTTAAGAAAAATATTGAAGCAATTTTTGAGAAAATGGAGTTTGAGCGTTTCTGAAATTGCGAAATTTTGAGCTATTTTTGACAGAAAACGGTTGAATTTTCTAGAAACTTTATGTGATATTATTTCACACATGTACTCATACATATAATAATGTGAGCAAATTACTGCTAATGTAAATATTAACGACGTGAGAGACAAGTCAAAAATTACATTTTCGTAATTTTTGAAAAGAAAACAAAAGAATAGAGCCATATGCCGTTTATGTCATCATATAGAGTGCATTTAGCACAATCCCTACCAAAAGTTGAAAGAAAAAAATTGGAGCCGGTTTTGAGAAAATCTTGTTTTTGTAATTTTTTAAAAATTGCACGCAAAATTGCGCGAAAGCTACTAAATGTTTTAAAAAAATCTACACCTTAATGAAAGCACAAGCTATGGCCCTCCACATCGCTCTGCACATCGACAAACCAATCTACTACGGCAGAAGGGATTAAGTTTACAATAGCGAACGAAAGAAGCAGGGGACAGGCATCATAAAAGACTGTTTTCTAAATCAGACGATAAAGGATTGGAACAGCTTACCCTCGAAAGTCTTCGAAAGCTTTCCTCGTCCGCGTAGCCCACATTGCAACGTGCAGTTAACTGCCGAGAGCCAAGACTGAGCCCCGCTGGGATGCATGTATCCCTCTGGGGACATGGGCCCATGCTGGCCAATTCTCAAAAACAAAATAGCTAATAATAATAATAATAATAATAATAATAATAATACAATATCATAATGTTACAATAATTATAACAATATACAATAAAACAAATAATGATTATTAAGGAATAAATAAAAACTCATGCGACACACAGTAATAGAATTATTGCATCAACTATGGCGCCGCCCGCCGCCCGGCTGCTGCTGGCATAACACGTGTATTTTGAGACTGACAAATAAACAATAATAATACCATACATGTCGCGCGACCGGTCGGGGGCTTAGAGCTGGTCTATAGAATGCGCGCCACAAGGAAAATGAGTTTAATCCACTGGAAGTTAAAACGCTAATTATTGAGAAAGTTGGGAAGGCATTACTGATTCTCGAGAGTGGCATTGCTTCATAAAATCTAGTGGCCGATTTCGTAGCTAATACCCCCGCTCTACCCGCATTTGCTTAATTGCCCGATGTCAAGAAACGTTGCGCGAGTAGCACCTGGTTGGGGAAAACCATCGCACCACACCGCCGGGCGTCGCCTGGGGAGAGGGGGGGGGGGGCTCAGAGGAAGAAGCAGAGGAAGGGAAAACCAACCGCCGAGGAAGCTTGTTCGTAAGATTCAGTAAATCCCCATTTACTATGAATTCATTTTTGCAGTATGGTTTAAGGTTAAACGTAAACGTTCCTTGTGCAATGAAATACTTTCCCGGGCGTGGACTGGATAGAAAGTTATGTGAGACATGTATACTTGAATCTGATAATCTCAAATATTAGTAAATGACAGGAAGCGAAATTATTAATATTGGAAAATATTTCAGTGGCATGATTAACAGTGCTAAGAATGTCATAGCAGACTCTTTAACGCACGAAGAAACAAAACATGACAGTGTGGTATCTATAATAAACAAGTCAAATAAAATTCTGCCGTTGTAACCGATCCCTGGCCCTTGTCCGCTCATGAACATACTAGTGGTGCTACAACATTACATACATTCTCGCATTATTTCTAAATTTGCAGATTTCGAAAATTCTGAGAGTTCAATGGTGAGACCTACGCCATTCTTTTAAGGTTCCTTGTCCTATTCAGGTGGAAATTGGAGCGGTTGTTGATAATTTTTTTATAAAGTTCATAGGTTTCAAGAACAAATTTTGAAGAAAAGTTACTCGTTCTTTTAAAAAAAATACATGATATTGTTTGAATAGCTACTTTCTTAAGACAAAAACTTCTATGTTCAATTCTGTCAATAAGATTTTTTCTGTCGAAAGTTCGCCGTTTTCCAGCGCATGATTACAATACGTTCTCTTCTTACGAATAGCGAGATATTAATATGACCATTTTTCTAAAAATTTACAAGTTTCCCTACATTTTAAAACCCTCAACATTTAGGGGACATTTCATTTAACGCGATTCGCTTCTCTTTGCTTCTAAAAAACGATAGTTTCAATTCTGTGATTGAAAAACATCTAGTTAGTATTTTTTTAAATGTTCACCCCCAATTAATATCCCAATCGATTTCAGTTTTACAGAATATTGTAGACAATTGATCTTTCTTAACATGGCTCTCTACCGGTCTCCCGGCTTGTGTGGTAGTGTAGCGCATGTTAGTGTGTGTTTAAGGGGTGAGGATAGGACAAGAAGTGAAAAAACGAAACCAAACAAGCAAACCATGGGACGACGACGAAAGATGAAGAGGAAGAGCGAAGGTGATGTGCACACGTAAGAGAAAGAGGAAGTGGGCAGATTATTGCCTTTGGGCGCGTCAGCGGCTAAGACCGTTCGTCTCGAAAGTGTAGTGCATGTTTTTCATCGCGGGAGGCGGCGGTGGCGAGGTTCGGCGCCGACCTAACGCCTGCTTGCGAGTTTTTTCAAGCCAGGTATTTCCCACCCGCGGGGCACCGCCCCATCCGGGAAAATCTCTGTGTTCCGGACCAGCCTCCTCTCATGTGTAGTAGTGAAATGCATGTAAGTGTGTGTGGAAGAGGAGAGAATAGGACAAGGAAGAGGAAGGAAAGATCGCGAGCGGTCCGCGGCCCATTTGTTAGGGTACTCCGGCATTCGCCTGGTGCTGATTGCAGAAACCACGAAAAAACTACCGATCAGAGCAGCCGGTCAACAGAATTTTCCTTCAGACAGAGGCAGAACAAGACCTAGCTATGTAATTAGTGTCGAAAATCTGTCGCTATCCGGACTCGAACCTAGGACCTCCCGGTCACAGGCACTGCAGAGAAATCAATTGTTGCCCTAAACCTTGGTGTCGAAACAGTGAATAAATCTTTTTCCCATACATAGTAAATTGCTTCTTCAAATAATTTCTCATGATATTCTCGAAATCTAAAAAGTTAACATTCGAGTATATATTTTTCTTTCATTCTAACTATAAGACATAAGTATTGGCGAACGTGCTGGGAGCAAGAGGTAGGCTGTTTGCTGTGGTGTCGTAATTTGCAAGCTGATTCCCATGACTTAAAATGTATAGAATACATATAACTTTTTTTTCGACAAATAGAGTGAATACGCTTATAATTATGTACTTGTCCAATTTTTAATAAAATCAGTGAAAAATCGAAAATTTGAATCTCCTGCGCTTCTTTTGCGGAATAGGGGTTTTCACGACATGACTAAAGAGTTTTTAGCAGCAAGTTGAAATATTGTATTTAGTTACTATTTTATCTAGTTTACTAGTTACGAGTTTACTAGTTACGAGTTTATCTACATTCCTTTCAACTCTTCAAGCCACGTTTATTGATATATCATATGTTATTGCGAAAACGTTTCTAATTTTTGTAAGTCAAAGAATAGATGCAGATATTGTATACAATACTACCAACAAAGATACTCCATTTCAGTGAGTTAAGCATTCGTTACAAAGGCATTTGTGCCTTGATGCCAATCATTTTGTTTAGCTACTTATATTTCTTCCGCCTATTTCGTCTATGACGCTGAAGTGTTTTTAAGAGATGAGCTGTTCGTTGCTCTCCGTGACTAAACAACTTTGATATTATCTGATGACATTTTTATCACAGAAACAATATCAAAGACATCCTCGTGTCTATCTGAAGGGCAAAAATCACCTCTAATTGATTTAACAAATATAAAATATTTCTACAAGTAATGTACTTCAGCTTCCGGAGCAATGACTCCATTTCGATCAGGTTTTTGCCCAGTTTCCCTGATCCATTGAGCAAATGCTGAGAGGACCCCTTCTTTTGCTCCTGAACGTAAATGTAGCTTCACTAAGCGCACGTTTTGTTTAACTATTCTTTTGCTTGTAGTGGTGGTAGTGGTGGTAGTGGTAGGAATAGAGCTGGGGGTGAGTTGCTATTTTGTTGATAATTCAGAAGAATCAAATCTGGAGTTCATTTGCCGTTGCAAATAAATTTTCTATAACTCGGGAATGAATATGTCTAGTTTCTATAAATGTTGCTAATCTTACGTTTTGTTCAATTTTATTGTTATTATTGTTTTATACTTTTATTCATTTTTCAACTATTTGTAGTTAAAATGTTGGGAATGGATTCAAGAAAACGTGAGATGATTTTCCTCCTCATAGAGTTTCTACTGTTTTTTGACGAAATAAAACTAAACTAAACTAATCGACCCGATAAAAAAGGAAAAGAAATAAATAAATGTAATTTCATACATTTTTTTGGAAAATGCCAATTTCATGTTCTCCAGTATCACTTTTACTATGTTGTGTAACACAATGAAAACCGAAGAGTAATTTTATGGAAATTCAAGGGAAAAATCGTAATGTGCATTATCTTAGGAATTCGTAAAGTAGTACAATACATGTGACCCTCACACGATACATTATTCAGAATGGCAATTGTTCGACGACATTGGATGGAAGTGAGCCTGATGGTGAAAGCGAAGAGATCTGTAAAGTCTGCGCAGGAAGGGCAAAATACTAGAAATTAATCTCAAACTTTGTCGCTTTTTTTGTTGCTAATTTGTTACCATACCAGAATACTTGCTGGCATCGAAACAATAGCAGTTTCAATTACCAACACCAACCCGAATTTTCTATCATAGCAGCCTATAAATCCTCCAACAACAAAAAATTATAGTTCTAAACATTTTTCTTCCACGCTTACCGTCTAACGCTCTTTTAGCAGATCTAAATGCTAAACGTGTGCACTGGGGCTGCCGAGTCTCGAATGCAGCAGGCGCTCAACTCTTACAATGTGTTGTCATAAACAAAATTAAATTGATATCACCCCCAACACCAACCCATTTCCCCAAGCTTCCTGATATACGTGGCATAGGAATAACAAACAATAAAAGCTAATTTTCACTCAACCCTGCATTTTGAACTGGACTCGAATCCTCTACCAATAATAATTTCCACATATCACATCCCCCCTCCCCACTCATCCACTCCAGTATTAATTACTTACAACCTAAATTGGACCAAATTCAAAAATATAATGCAAAACCAAATACTCTATTTTCAAATACTAAACTCTCCAGCCAAAACAGACCAGGCAATAACGCAACTAAATAATAAAACAATTAATAAAGTAGATAAACTCAATCCTGAACGGTCGATCACCCTTCGGAAACACACATCAAACAAACTACAGTGAAAGCATGATCAGAACCATAGAAGCTAAAACTAGAAGATTATGGAGGGCACTTAGAATTCCTTCACTTAAAACAGAACTAAATACTCTAAGCAAAATCTCTAGAACACTATAAACAATCAAAATACAATAACAGCAAACATTCATTAAACACAAGCAATAACTCACTTTGGATTTTCATTAAACTTAGGGAAAAAACCATAATCCCCACACTAGCTACTCCAAATAGAAATATACATGCAGCTGCCGGCAAAACGGAATTATTCCAACTTTCGCATCAACCTCACACCCCCGCCCCCAGATCACAGCCAAACTCAACTCGACCCGAATTCCCCTAATTTCAACGTTTCACAAAAAATTAAATATATCACTTCACATGAAACTCTAAAAATTATCAAATCCCTCTCAAATAAAAAAGCCCCTGGTCACGAT